CACGCGTCCGAACCGAGGACGAGGAGGCGACGTGAGGAGGGGGTGGGGGTGTAGAGCGCTCACACGGGGTGAGACATTTTTTCTCTGGAACGCGATGATGTGCGGACACACACACACGACAGTTCGACCGTCGATTTCGACAATGTCCACCGTGTGCCCCACAGCTGCAGCAGCGGTGGGAGCAGGGACGGTGACTTACGCAGGGGTTTATAGTGCCAGTAGACTTGCGTGGCATCTACCTACACTCTCTCCTCCTCCCCCGCCTGAGCCCGGTGTCAAGACAGTGTCAAGAAGACCGGAGACGAGGGAGGCCGCAGGTGGATGGCTCGGACGGATCCTCGCCTTCGCGCTCCACTCCGCACCCCCTGGTCCACACAACAATGACCAGGATTTTGACCACAAAACCATGGGGTGGTGACAGTGGTCCAGTTGTGCGACGAATGCCGACAACACGGTCCGCCAGCGCACGCCGCAATTGTTGGCATTTGTTACTGCTCACAGATAACGCCTGCCAGAGTCCGATGAGGCCCCCGTGTTGGTCCAGCGCATCTACCACGTCCAACCCCATATGGGGACCAAGTGTTTGAAAGTCAAGGAACAATCAAGTGTATTTGCATTGGTGCTTTGTTTTTAGAAAGACGAAGAAGCAGACGCCATTGCGGAAATACTAATTTCGTTAGACTGACCTCTCGAATTCACAGCATCAGATAATGATGGATGATGCAACCCTTGTGCATTCATGGTATTCTTCCTTCGGCCTTCGCCAGAACACTCATCTCTTGCACTGTGACGCTCGAAAAAAAACCCGGACGAAGTATCCCAAGAATGGCGACGTAGGGTTAGTCGGAGAACATTTGCTGTGGCAAGACAGTTTCGTTTGGCCAACTCCTGAATGGAATAGACTTGATGGTGTTCACTAGCCCCTTTAGCCACAAAAATCAGGCTTCCCGCTGATGTGCCTGAAAGTCCACCCGCAGACATGGGAGGACCTCGTTCAAGGACGATAACAACAACGACTCACCATCGCCATCCTTTTCGATTGGCCACAGGGGGGACAACGTAAATCAAATATTTGGTACATACGAGGAGCACCTGTCTGTCTGGATCCCCCACCATCTGCGCCAAGGCGTAGGGACCAGCAATTGTTTCGGCGTGCCGAGCACCAGTTGTCGAGGCTGATGGCCCCCACGCAAGTGCCTCGAGTGCGCCCATGCGCGTGTGCGTGCGTGTGTGAATGACCATTGTCCGCCAGCAATCGATCAGCACGTGACCGTGTCACGTCGGTTGGCGCGTGGGGCTGTCGCCAAGTCAGGGCCAAGTCATGTGCGTCGCACGCATTCGACTAACAAGAGGGTTTAGTCTGAGCGAAGTCCTTTTATTTGATTAATGAATTTTAGTGAACGCTGAAATTCATTTTGGATGCTGTATGGAATTTAGCTTGATGAGGAGGCGGCGGCAGGCGCAGGGTTCGTTTCTACTGTCAGTTTCGTTTCCTCAAGGAGGCAGCTAGTGACGAGCAGACTGAGTGAAAAGTACTCAAAAGAGATTGGGTGCAAACAGATGCTCATTTGCGTCTAGGTTAAACAGTTCTACTTAGAAATGGAAAAGCTCGACTTATCAGGCAAATACTATTGTGGCACAAAAG